ATCTATCTATCTATCTATCTATCTATCTATCTATCTATCTATCTATCTATCTATCTATCTATATGTCTGTCTGTCCTTGTCTGTCTATTTATCTGTCTATCTATCTTTCTATCCATCTGTCTGTCTGTCTGTCTATCTATCTGTCTATCTATCTATCTATCTATCTGTCTGTCTGTCTGTCTACAGTATATCTCTGTCTATTGTTAGCTCATACATTCATTCGTTCATTCTATCTATCTGTCTGTCTGTCCTTGTCTATCTATCTATCTATCTATCTATCTATCTATCTATCTGTCTGTCTGTCTGTCTGTCTACAGTATATCTCTGTCTATTGTTAGCTCATACATTCATTCGTTCATTCTATCTATCTGTCTGTAGTTTGTTAGTTATTTCTGCCTATCTGTCTGTGGTTTGTTTGTTCTGTCTGTGGTTTGTTCTGTCTGTCTGTCTCTCTCTCTATCATTTGTTTATTTGTTTGTTCTTTTTGTCTGTAGATCTTTTTTTTTTGTTCTGTCTGTCATTTGTTTGTTCTGTCTATCTGTCGTTTGTTTGTTTGTTCAGTTTGTCTGTGCTTCTGTCAGTTGTTTATCCGTTCATTCTATCTGTTTATTTTTTGTTTGTTTGTTTGTTCATTTTGTCGATCTAGCGTTCTGTCTGTCTGTCCGTCGTTCATTCATTCTATCTATCTCATTCATTTGTGTGTATGTGTGTTTGTTGCAGTTGCTCAGTGCTATGGTGGCGAAGCTGGGAAACAGGGAAGATCCTCTGCCACAGGCGTCATATGAAGGTGTGGATGAAGATGAGTGGGTGAGTGAAGAACTGACCACACACACACACACCTCAGATGATTCATGACACTCTGTAAACCATCTAAATCCTGTCTGTGTGTGTTTCAGGACGACTAACACACAAGCCTTGCCTCACGGTCCAGTCAGGGTGCCAGCAGCAGACATGGGACGTACTTGCTGTATTAAAATTTTGCCATTCCAGGGTGCCAACGTACCTCTGAACCTCATAAACCAGGGCTGTCCAAACTCAGTCCTGGAGGGCTGGTGTCCTGCAGGGTTTAGCTCCAACTTGCCTCAGCACACCTGACTGAAAGTTTCTATGCCTAGTAAGAGCTTGATTAGCTGGTTCAGGTGTGTTTAATTAGGGTTGGAGCTAAACTCTGCAGGACACCGGCCCTCCAGGACCGAGTTTGGACAGCCCTGTCCTAAACGTTCCTCATCCCGACAGCTTCAGCTCCGTACAGCCTGCTGATTCACTCTCACACACTCCTCCATCTGCCTTCTAGATAACCCACCCATCATCTCTCTGCATTGGTTTAACTGGAGTATTAATATCAGTTAATAATGGTTAAAATGATTCTAGACACATGAACACATTCTAATGCATAGTTCAGACGTTCATCTCAGATGCATGACGCACATTTACAATATGACAGGGTTTTTTCTGTGTCAGTTTTAATGATGGCATCAGTTTTGTACTGCTGTATTTGACTGTATAATGACTGCATGATAACACAAGCCTTTCTCAATCTATAACACAAAACCTCTCTGGATATTTTCATTGGTGAAATGTGCACTTAATACCATCATTTGACTATTGAAATGGTTAAATGTACGTTTTACATTGATATTGTGGTAATTAGTTGGATTAAATGTCATCTCCTTTAGGTTCTTAGCAGCGTTAGATATCCTTTAATAAGTCTGGAGCACAAATGTCTGTGTACCTCTAAATCAATGATCTGGAGACTGTTGAAAACACTCCTTTTTAAACTGGGAAATACTCCTTTCTGTATATTTCCTTCTGCTCAACCTAATCAACAGTATTAACACAAATCTACTTCACAAGGGTATTTTCTCCAATAATCAGGTTTATCACAAAGCAATACAACTATTTTCTTTTTTAACAGAACGTTTACATATGCCAGGTAAGGAATCGTGCATGTTATGGCATTCGTACCGTATGATGTCCTGTGCTTGACATGTGACCATGTACTCACACATGAATGGTAGATGTTAATAGGTATGGCAATGGTCTGCTAAGTGTTTTTTTTTTTTTTATGTGAGCTCATTTTACCAATCTGGTGTTTTTGGGATGCTTTTTCACAGCACTTGTAATCGCATTCATTTTAATACTTTGCAGGCAATAATGTTTTTCACTCCTCTTTTGAATGGAATCAGTCTTGTGGGAATGTTGCCTCAAAATAAAATCTTGAGAGCTAAGAAATATGGAATTGAGTGGTGTATTTATTGATGATCATCATAATCATACTGTAATTATTACAAGTGTTATTATTATAAATTATTATCATAATCATCATCATTATTATACAATGTATTATTAATATAATCATATTGTCAGACTCATGTTTTGTGTGTGTCCTGCTCCCCATGTGCCTTCCCATGCCCTTATTTGGTTAGTTTCCTGTTCCTGTCCTGATTAGTTCATCTGTCCCAGGAGTTTCCCTTCACCCAGGTGTTTCCCTTGGTTTTATTGCTCCCAGGTGTGTCTCGTCATCCCCTCCTCCTGTGTGTATTAAATGTGTTCCCAGTCCCAAGTTCTCTGTCCGCTGTTGTACGTCTTCGTGTGAACGTCTTCCTGTGTTCGTCTCCCTCGGTGCAAATAAAGTCTTGTCAACATATTCTCCAGCGTCTCCTCGTCCCTCGTGTGTGTGTGTGCGTGCAACGTGACAGAACAGCGGACCGAACAGTAAGCGGCATCCTTTCCCCGTTTTTGATTTCCGGTTTTTGTAAGTTTTTGTTTTGCCCCTTTTTTCCCGTGCGCTCCTCCACGTCCCCATATGGAGGAGCGTTTAATTTTCATATCAGTGGCTCAAGCGAGCCCAGACCCCGTCGTCTTCGCGAGGGCGTTTGTGCCGCTCGCCCTCGCCAGCTCCCTCGAGGGGGAAACCCTCGCGACGCTGTTCCGGATCGGGATGACGTTCCACCATCCCACGGGTGTGTGTGTGTGTGTGTGTGTGTGTGTAAAATGTGTTCTCTGTCCGCTGTTGTACGTCTTGGTGTGAACGTCTTCCTGTGTTCGTCTTCCTTGGTGCAAATAAAGTCTTGTCAACATATTCTCCAGCTTCTCCTCGTCCCTCGTGTGTGTGTGCAACGTGACACATATTATGTAATTTATTGTTAATAATACAGTTTATTATTATTATTATTATTGTTATTATTATTTCTCTATATTTATTTTATATCATATTCTGGTTATAGACTCAATTCCCATCTGGTAATATTAAATATGATCCATTTCTTTTGTTTATTGTTATTATCAGTAGTAGTGTTTAATGTATTATTAATATATATATATATTTTTTTTTTTTTTTTTAAGAAGTGAATATAGACAAGTTTCGCATCTGGTAATATTAAATATATTCCATTACTTCTGTTTTGTTATTATTATTATTACAACATTTACAAGGCACAATAAGAATAAAATGTAGAGAGTTACAGTACAAGAAACTCTAAAATTAAAACACATCATATTATATTATAAATAGTAAGCCATAGTATTACAAGGGATTCTATTATTAAGAGTTTTTTTCAAAGAATGTAAATATAGGTCATCAATTTTCTCCACGAGTCACGACCGCACGCCTCTGTTGAATCTGCCAGCGGGTCATGAACGTCCTCCAGCCGGCAGGTGGCAGTGTGCGTGTTGTGTGTGTTCGCCTCGGTTCTTCGCCGGCTTCATCAACCTTGATGGAGCTACACGTGAAAAAAAAAACATTTGTCCTAAACTGAGCTGTTTCACATCAACACAGCAGATCAGTCATGGTATGTTCAGATATTCATATACCGATCATCATCATCATCATTTTATTATTTCATGACGGTAGCTCTGTATTTCATCTCTAGAAATGCTAATAATGGATCATTCCGTTTCAGATTATCTTATGCAACGACCTTGTATTTCATTTTCATAGTAGGATTAATGTCATATTACATTTTGAACAGAATATGGTTGCATGAACGATTAATGAATTTTAATGACCGCAGAAGTAATGTAACAATGCTGTGTATTTGTGAAGCTGTGAATTCAATATAGCTAACTTACATTATTTCACTTATTATGGCACATTATTTATTATGAAACATTTGAATGGAAACGTTTTATTCTGGAACAAGAAAGTGTCGGTCTAATGTGTCATTTGCCTTCCTTGCAAACTTTGTAACCTCTCGCAATGCAATTGTATGACACTTTTAAATGTTTTTGTGTTCACACAGGCCAAATATCTGGCTCAGGTCGTTGTGATGGGGGCTCAGGTGGTCGGACGAGCTTTTGCAAGAGCTTTACGTCAAGAATTTGCAGGTCGATACAAAGAAATGCTATTTTATGTCTATTTATTAATAGTATATTAACTGTATTAATATTAATATTCGGTTACACTTTACTTGAAGGGGTGTGCATAAGACTGACATGACACCTTCATAATCATGACATGACACCTACAATGAATATGAAGGTTTTTTATGCATGTTTATGACAACTGTCATTAAGTGTCATTCGCTCAGTTATGTAATTTTTAATGCAAAGATGACATTGTTTGAGATGTCTTTGTTATGGGCTATGGTTAGGGGTAGGGTTAGGTCAAATAATGTCATATTTGCATTAAAAATGACATAACTGAGCGAATGACACTTAATGACAGTTGTCATA